CTCCCTCAACAGCAGCAAAGAGTTTTTCTTGGTCTTCTGGTTAAGTGTTTTCTACGTTGGTGGTTGTGCCTTGAAATTATTTATTTTTTACTTTAGAAAGATTTGGCAAATTGGAATTGTTATTCTTCTTAATTGACTTTTTTTTTCCCCTTTGTTGCGTTTGTTTCAATCTCAAGAATTTCGGCTTTTAGTTTTGTCGAGTTGGTTCAATATGGTATTTTATTTGGATCTATTAGCTCATTCATTGTGGTATATACGACCCAAAGTTTTTTCCCCCTCTTTTGCTGTTTTTGTTTCAATTCTCATCGTCACATTTCTTTTAGAGAAGTAATAAGTTGTTAAGCACATGCAAATGCTTGAGTTAGTTGGAAAAGAGACTAGATTTTACCACCTTTTATAAAATCATAAGAACGGATAAGAAGTTTTATTTTTATTTTAAAAAAAAACAAATTATAGTCGATGCATTTTTTTTTTTTTTTTTTTGTAGAAATCACAACTAAAACTATCAATCAATACCTCGCCTAATGTGGCTAAGCTCCCCAATGAGGTGGTGATCCACCCGTGTGGATTTATTAATAGACTAATTAGCAATGAAAACTGGGAAGAACTGGTCAATGATGATTGAAGCTGCTGCAACATATGCCTGATTTTTCGACAAATCTGCGTTCGGTGACACAAATATGATCCCAAAACCAACTATAAAGAATGTTGGTCATGATTTATCTTATTTTGGTTGATTTAAAAGCAAAAAAAAAAAAAAAAACTGGTGAAATTGCCAATGATTTGAATGCGATAATATATGGATTTAGCCTCTTAAGTTTTTCTTAGGAGCAAGAGAAGAACAAGCTGAGTGGAAATCCTAGGGTCCTAGCTATTGCACCAACATAAAATGACTGGCTATCTGCTGTTAATAATGAGCCTGCTGTAGGAGGGCCAAAAAACAACATTGGCATTGTTGTCATTATCTGTGTAACAATATTGTTGCGAGCATTATGTTTAGAACTTATCCATGTAGACCTGCTTAACAAGTTCACGTGACTCATGTTCCAACTTTCTTGTACCTCATTTACATGACTTTCCCATTCAATATGATGTCTGCAAGTAAATGGTCAAGTTGCAATATTGAAAGATTGAAAGTGTATAATGATTATTATTTATTAGTAACTTGCCCCAATGAAAATTATTTACTCTCAAGATAGAAGTTCCCAACCCACATTTATCTTCTCACGTGCAAAATTTGCAATTCACTTGCAAATGATGTGTAAGAGAGTAAAACTAAAAGTTTAAAATTATCTAATAAAGCTTTCACGCTATACAAATCAAGTTAATTATGTTAGTACTTATCAAATAGATTCTTATGTTTTATTAATTTTTTAGAGAAAACTTAATGAAGTGACCATTACCTGCCCTCTTGGTCACTAAACACACCTTTAGTGGTTTTAACTTCACATCCAATGCAGAAACTCCAACAAACAAGTTTTTATCAACTCCATATAACTTAAATAGATCTTAATGAAAAAAGTGAAACAAGATAACATAATAGATTTTACAAGGTAAAAAATATAAAGTCATAGAAGACTCGCGATTGACATCACACTTAGGCATGAACTCTATTGCTCTCTTTACAAACTCTTCACCATACTTTTCAGCGAACAGTATCTAAAATTGTTGTAACTCATCATCTTCAAATTACATATTGTCGTGGTTGACCATTGGTTTTATTTTTGTAGTGATCTAAGGAATTATTTATATTAATGAGCTCAATAGTTATCTACTATTTTTTCTTCATGTAGAAACAAGCTCTTCCTCCATCTTCACATCTACAATTTAGTTTTTTTTTCAAAATTTTTTTTGCCCCCCCTCCTTGTTTACTTGACCACGTATAAAAACAACCCCAGTTGCTTCATGCCAGTGAGATCATCAACACACCTTTGCAGGCCATGTATCTCATTCAAAGCAACCTTGTTACCTCCCACTCTTTCATAAGCTGCTAGAACATTATTATAATCCCCCATTACTATCCATGCACCATTAACACTAGGAGCTAATCCTATTAATTCTTCCCATAGTACTTCTCTCTCATTCCTTTCAGTTGATCCATATATTGTTGTCAAATAGAAATCTTCAGCACTACCATTACTCTCCACCCACCAATGTATAAATTGGGTATTCTGCTTGAGGACATTTATCTTCAATATGCTAGGGTTCCAAATGATCCCAAAACGTATCTCTACTATTTTTCCCTATTCCAAAACAATATTCGTACCCCACCTTTCTCATTATCCCATCTGCTCTACTCATAGTCAACCTTCCAAGGCTTTATAGTCACTGGATTTGCTTCCAAATAGTTCATCGACTCTGTTAAGGCTTCCTCCACAAAGATCATATCATGAAAATGAATGACATACAATCCCGTAGGAAGAATTAATACCTTGTCCACTTTAGATGTTTCCAAATCCTTCGATGTACGAGTCCAAGACCTTGAACAGTGGATTGGCACCAAGAACAAAGCTTATAACTGATGTCTTTCAATACTCCATCTCTGCCTCAACATGCTCTTGTTGTACCAATGCCACTTTCCTCCCTTCTTTTCTTCCGGCTGCACATAATCTAGTGAGAATCGCTCCTTCAATTTTTAGGCATCAAATTTATACCAAGTTGACTGCGGATTTTTTCCTCCTAGATCCAGCGACCATATCAACTTCCTAGCCGTATTAACCCCAAGGATCTCACTCAGTTTTTGCGCCTGCTGCTACAATCGAGAATCCATACCGTGAATCTAGTGGATCTCTTGATTACTCTTCCCCTCTACTTTTTTAGTTACCCTCGATGAACTTGGTATTTCTCTCAGATCTGCTTTCCTCACTTCAGATCTTTCCAAAATTTTCGGTGACTCCACTCACGTACAATTTGCTTGCTCAATTCTAATATTAAATTGCTTTTCGCAGTTCACAAATTACTCATTTACAGTTCGTTTTGGACAATTTTGTCCATAAACCTTTATCTAATTACAAAAACCTACTTAAAATATATTTATCATATAATTTTAATATAATATCTAGTGCATTCTTTATTTGAATAGAACAAATAAATTATAATAATAATAAAAAACTTATTATACCTAATTTCTGCATTTAATCTATACTAATTATTAAATTAAATTAATTATACCTAATAAATTCAATTAAATTAAAAATGTTATTAAATTAGTAAATATAACAGAAAAAATAAAACTAAAGTAAATATAAAAAATAATGAAAATAACACAAAAAATAAAAAAAAATTGAAAAAAATGTTTTTTGCCAACGGCCGACCACCCATTGAAGGTTGGCCGGTTTACTCACCGGCCAACCGCGAAGAAGTGGCCATTTGTTGGGTCGGCCACTTCTTCCCGGTTGGTCGGTGAGTAAACCAGCCAACCTTCTGGCTACCCTGAACAGTACCTTCTTTTTCTTTTTTTTTTTCCAATTTTTGGTGTTATTTTGATATATTATTTTTGTTATCATTATTTTTTTGTATAATTACTTTAGTTTTATATATTGTGTTATTGTTCAATTAATTTAGTTAAATTTATTTATAATTAATTTAAATAGTGTATGTTGTGTTATTTAGTTGTAATTAATTTACTCAAATGTATTTATCATATAATTTAAATATAATATCTAGTACATTCTTTATTTGAATATAACAAATAAATTATAATAATAATAAAAAACTTATTATACCTAATTTCTCCATTTAATCTACACTAGTTATTAAAATAAATTAATTATACCTAATAAATTTAATTAAAATAAAAATGTTATTAAATCAATAAATATAACACAAAACAAATAAAACTTAAATTAAATAAAAAATAATAACAATTACACAAAAAAATTAAAAAAAATTGAATATTTTTTTTTTTTGCAGGGTGGCCGGTCGTCGGGTCGGCCACCTTTTGAAGGTTGGCCGATTTATTCACCGGCCAACCGGGAAGAAGTGGCCACTCGTTTGGGTCGGCCACTTCTTTGATTGGCCGATGAGTAACCGCCAACCTCAAAGTGGCGGCCGACGGCCGCCACCCTTACCTTTTCTTTTCTTTTATTTTTCCAATTTTTTTGTGTTATTTTATATTATTTTTTTGTTATCATTATTTTTTTTGTATAATACTTTAGTTTTATATTTTATGTTTTATTTAAATAATTTAGTTAAATTTATTTATAATTAATGTAATTAGTATATGTTGGAGGAGAAGAAAGAGTTCAGGGGCAAAATTATCCAAAACAAACTGCAAGTGAATAATTTCTGAATTGCAAAAAGTAATGCCCTATCTTTGGGAGCTCTCTGGACCTTTGTCTTTCCCTTTGCCATGGCGGGCGCACTATAGCATTTATGTACTAAAGTGCACCGAGAGCGAGTCAACAAAAGTCAAGATTATGTTTATACTTATTCAACTTCTAAAGTTTTTTTAATGTGATGAATGATATCAATTGTATTTCTTACTTTTATAAAAAAAAGAAAAAAAGGAAGATTTCGCTTGATAATGTTTCAACCGTAACTTTGAAATTTTTCTTTAATACATGTCTGGAAAGATGAATCACAAATGTACAAACTAATTGAATTTCAAACTCCCAAAAGAAAAACTGTTTTATTAAAATTGTGTCAATATTATGATAATGTCTTGTCAAAAAGTGAAACTGGTAATTTAACTGCACTCGAGAGTTTTGTTTTTCACTTTGTATGATTAGTTGGCGTTTATGTTAATGATGGAGGATTTGCTAGATTTATAGACGTTGCTAAACATAGACGTGCGATATGAAGGTAGAAACGATGTTTCCAACAAAAAGTAAGAAACAAACAATTTGATGAAAATGGTTACGTTGATGATGAAACTCAATCACATGAATAATTTTTCAATGTTAATTATTTTAGTTCTTGTGAATTTTGACAATCACAACATCATTGGAGATAATATCTGCGGAATTAATAACATTTGAAGGTATTTTTGGTTTTCATTATATGATTTAAAAATAGTTGAGATCATCTGTTGATTCTGAAGTCAGATATATTGCTCTAGTTTTAATAGTACTTTGATCCCTACGGTACTACAGTCTTGAACCACACTGTAAAACTTGAGACCTGTTCTATGGCATGCCTTATACACAAAACATGCAGGCGATGCACTGAAGTCATATATCGCGAGCGAGATTGATTCACTTTATCTCTCAGCTACAAATACGACAGATATATATACACTCAAAGTTATGTACACATTTTCTCCAGGAAGCAAGTCGTGCTATACATACAAAATTTTCTATAAACTGCAGATTTAGCAGCCGGACTATAGGTATAAACCAAAGGGGGAACCAGTAAAAGTCCCATTACACTGTTATTCACTTTAGTAAAACATCTATCTGTCAAATTTTCTATATCAAGTCCCCTTGATCCTGACTTGCTAAAGTAACCACCGAACAATGAGAAAGCCATGCAGTAACATCAGCAATAAGAAGGTGAGAGACTTTTCGGCACTTCGGCAGGAGTAAGAAGGTAGAGAATGAGCACCCACCAGATGTACTGACCCTGTAATTTCATCTTTCAACTTGATGCTGGAGGAACCTGACATCAATTAACCAAGACAAAACAGATAAGGAAAAAAAGAACATGGGATATAAGTGATCATCCCAGACTGAAGTTGAGCTTTGTTTATGATGCACAATAAAATTGATGGAAAATGCCCATAAACCAACAGCATCACCAACCCTATTTTATTTTATTTTAAAACCTAGGTTTCTAGGTGAAGACAAAATATATTCAAATCAGAGAAACTGAAGGGAGGCATAATTAGGAAAAACAACCAACATTTGACAACAGCCAATTAATAAAAACACAAAATATATTAAGCAATGATTTTAAAAAATATGCACATTGACCAAAAGGTTTATTATCTAACTCCACATTTTCAAGAGTGCAATGAGGTAAATTTACATCATCTCAAATTGAGGGACTAGCAGGTCACAGAAGATTCCTTTTCCAGCTGCATAGTATATACTAATGCTTTGCATGAACAATAAAATAAGTCAAGAAAAAACCTCAAACATTATATATACTTGTTCAGAAGCTAAAAATTTCTGATAAAGCCTATACATCTAAGTGCACTCCCAAAGACATAATTCTATCAATGTCTACCTCCAAGGATGCAAACAAACAGAAGAAAGTCTTAAAAGTAGGCACTATTATGCATATGCAGCACTTGGAAACGGCAAAAAATGAAATGCTGCAGAAATTACTCTTTAAATACTTACAATTATATTCAGTCCACCCAATAGTCTGATTTTCAAGATCATACAAGACCAACTTGTTTGAAAGTACCAAATCTGTCAACAAGGGAGCAACAATAAATTGAAGTAGAGGGAATAATGAGAGATTAGTAACGCAAAAAGCTACTTCCGTGCATGGACTAAAGTTAGACATAAGTAAACGCATAACAACTGGAGAGCAGCACTATCAAAGATGAGCTAGAAGTATTGTGATACATGTCAGGTTACATAGTCATTGATTACAGTTTCAATTGCCAAAAGGGAAAACTTCACAGTAATTGTTTCACTGTTTTTCGTGACAGCTTTTCCACCTATACTCAGATATGAAGTGAAATGTTCCCCGGTAAATTTGCATTTACCGGAGGACTTTCTTTTCCGTTGTTTTGTTCGTCCAGCAGCTGTAATCAATGCAGCCGCTAGATAGACATAAATAAACATGTAAAAGTTTCATTTGATTTCCAAAGGTCAAATTTTCTCGCTTTTCTGGATTTTTTATTTTTTTTGGAAGGGGGTGGAGTAAAAGGTTGTTTAATTCCATTTTGAATAAATTTGATACCAAAAGTTTATACAAAGATCAAACTCCTAAGAGGAAAACATATTTCTTAATGGAGAGATACAAACAAAAAACAACAGAAAACACAATAAACATGGCGGCGGGTGACTATACAAAGCCACAATGTTTGTATCAACCAAGATAATCTTAAAAAGAGAATATTGGAAAGGCAATAATAAAAACCTCAGGATGGTAAATTTTATTCAACCATTCAAGTGAGAAAAAGAACTCATTCATCATCAATTTATGTTTGTATTGTAATCCCAAATGCCAATAACTGTTCCGACATGCTGGGTTCAACTAATATAACAGTAACCAGTTAAGTGGGTTCTCATAGTTATGCAAAATCTCGGGGTTCATTTTGTTGTGTTCCAAACCTGGAGGGGCTAAAATGTAATTTATCCAATTTAATATACTTGAACTTCTAAAAATGAGATCAGAACCCAAATTGAGATCATTGAAATTGAAACTTTCAGCCAGAAGCAATAATGAATCATTGATTACATAATAAAATACATAAGCACTATACAAACCTCCAAGAAGTGTGATGTTCTTCTTATCTCCTGAGAGAAGTCCACTGTTTTGCCATCCAACGCACATCAAACCATCCTGGAAAAGTAAGTGACATTTCAATTCCAATTAACCCTGAAAGAGAGGGCATAGTAGCAAACAGTTTGAAAAATAGCAAACCAATGTAAGCAAACCTAACAAATCAACATGTAACTAAGCAGCCGATATGGCCAAAAGTCCAGAATCAAATCACCATAACAGAAAATTTTCTTCTTTTTCGGGATAATTTTGATAGAGGAACACAGCAATAAAAACATGTGATGCGCCAGAAGAAGAAGTTCCTGTTAATTAATTAATTAAAGTCTGAACTTGAAGAAATTCAATTTTCATATAAGAACTCTCAGGATTACGTGAATAAGTCTTGCCTTAAATTGGAAAATTAAAATTTGAAACGTCAATGAGTTACAATACACTTGTTATATCAAAATCTTCGAAATCCATCCACAGGACAAATAACTCAGACTGGTACAAATCTCTGTATTATGTTTTTAAACAAACAGACACCTGTAATTGCAGCACTAATGGACACCTAGCAAAGTCAGGTAGAACTGCCCAGAGACTCACGTACCATCAGAAGACACGCAACTGAACACAGCTTACACAAAAACTTAAATTGCTCCGGTTTCAAATTTCCAGCAGTAGAATGGACAAGCGTAGATGTTCGAATAAGAGGTAGTACAAAAGTTTGGCAGTTAGAGGATACGAATGGACGGAGAGGATATGAATGGACGGGTGTATACAACTAAACATAGTGATGCCATATCTAAAGTGGCATGTTCTAGAAAGGTAAAACGGAAAAGTTCGTCAATGGACCACAGAAAAGTTTGGCATGTTCTAAAGGTTCAAGCACATCACAATATTTTGACACTGTTCATCCGTTGGGTAACAGTTACCCGGCAATCTAGTGACAAAATTCTCCAATTGACTATGTGAGTTTCTGGACTCAGAATTGGTGGGACAAATTGGTATAGAAGCAAATAGTCCAATGCCACATCAACTCCATAATATTCAGAAGTCAGATTTCATGAAGATTTGCTACCTCTTTACAATAATTCTCCTTCAACCAGCATGGCTATCAAAAAATAAAGACGTAATTATCTACAAATCTTATGACTATAATGTGCCTTCCGGCATCTAACTATAACCCCATACATAATAAAAACTTTTAAAACCCTAAAAGGTAATGTCACAACCAAACTAAGATTGGAGTATTTCTACAGATTCATCCTCACCTTTTTGATTCGTCATCATCCTACTTGGTGGCAGTTAGTAATCAACCTAAAGCAACACTCCCTAATTTGTGTTTATTACCAAAAGTCCAAACTTAAGCCCGGGGACTAGTAAGTAGGCAGAACTTTGTAACCACATAATCTCCTTCTAAGATTTGTAAATTATATAAACACGATTAACAACAGTCAAGCTTTGAACACCATGTCATCAGAGTTTTATAATCATGGCTTGCCTTTACATTCTGGTTGCAAAACTTTTGAACAAGAAATGAAAATCCAAAGTGGACAATAATTATGGGACGGAGGGAGTACTTACGACTATACGTCTACGCCATATCATAACCTTTTATATGTCACTATTAGAATTCTCTCTCCCCATCATTGTTCTAAATAATTAACAAAAACATGGAAAGGGAATAAGAAAAAGAGCTGGCCTATTGAAACAAATTGTGGTCTAAAGAACATGATGCTTACAAATGGAAAGAGATAGTCACGTGGATAGACTTTCAAACTAAGTGAGTTTTCAAAGTGGAATGTGACATTGGGAAAGCCCTCATCGACACTGCATCAGACAAAAAAATAAATAAATAATCAATAAATGCACCTAAACAGATAACACTGAAAATACTTAACCACTGAAAATACAAAAAGGCAACTTCAGGTTAAATAACTGTAACAGGATACACAATTACATAGAAGATGCAAAAACATATGCATGTCAAATTAAAAACAACTTGCTGGCAAATCAATCAAATAACAGATATCAGGACAAAATGATCGGCAATTTAAGCTCACTATAGAAAAAATCAACCCACATAGTAAATTAAAACCTTTAAATAATGGCCAAAAAGTGGCCTCCAACAACTAAAGATATTGTCTTCCAGAACTATATATCTCTAAACACCAGCCTGCAATTGCTTAAGTTCCACATCCCTCATCTTAAACCAAAAAGCCAGTCACTTTCTCTGCTCTCAACAGCCGCAACCAATTAAAGGTATGGCAAACTATTCAATACATAATTGCCTTTGAAACTTGCCATTTAGAGGAAAATCTGCCTATTACATTATAATCCGCCTGAAAGCTAATAAGAGTAGCACTATGCATGTGGAGGATATTATGTAAACCCAATCCCCAATAGTTATAAGAGAATTTGTCAACAATTGTACACTCAGGAGGGCTTTATACTACTAGATGAAACCAGGACGCCACTAAGAATGGTTTTTACGCAAACAACGGATTTGTGTGTATAAAATATCTAAATGGAATCACCTACTTAACTACACTAAAGCATGGAGATTCCTATGGTCCTTTTTGAACACACAAATTTGTTTTAGTAAAATCGGGTACAAGAACTTGAATGTGCAACTTAATGAAATACACGTAGATCTTATAATGTATGAAATAGCCCTGTAACTGTTTGTCAATCGCATTATCATATACCTGAAATCTAGCAAGAGTAGTTTCATTCATGTGGCAATTAACGATGAGAAATCTGATACTTATCAGAGATATTGTGACAAATTTGTTAACTCGGAAGAGTATGTTTATACTGCCTGATGAAACCTGAAAGCCACTAACAATAGTTTTTATACCAAAAAGAGGATTTGCAACTGACATCTAAATAATATCACCAACTAGACTGTAGCATGTAGATTCCTCTGTTTAGTTTTAAAGACAAAATCTTCTTCAGTAAAATCAGGGAGAAGATTTCAGATGTGTAAATCAATAAAACATTTTCAGATATTATGATGTACGAAAATGAAATAGTCAAATCAACCTTTAACTACTTAGGAAAAGAGCAAGAAACAAAGGATGCCGATCAAACTTATCCTGCAAACACATAAGCCCAAACAAATCAACAACCATACCTTCCAGAGTAGTCAAAGCATGTATAATCATCATGAATTGGTTGCAGTTTCAAATTAGGTTGCGAGGATAATATCTACAAAAAAAATATTTCACAATGAAAAACAGAAAATATAGAAGCTCTCAACAAATCTAATGAGGATATTTATCAAGATAGCGGAAATTACCGTTATGACTAGTGGGTCGTAAATGGCTTGTGGGAAATAGGCCAATGTTGTCCCACTATCGATTATCGCCCCCGAATTATTTCCAATCCTGAATAACTCTTGGGTAATATTCAGTGTAGCGTTGCCAACTTCAATTGCCGTCATATTGACATTGTAATGCGGCCTAAAAGTTTTCAGGAAAAAGTTTGGTAAAGTTTAATCTAACGAAAAGATAGCAAAGTTTGTTTCAAAATCATCATAAAATTAATGATGGGGTCCACTTGGAATCATGAACTTAAGCGCAAAGCGGGTAGGATTGTAATGGCATCTCAACATATTGCAACAACAGATTCCTAATATGATGTAAGGCATGCAAATGCAAAGATCCAGCTTGTCTTCTTCCATGATTACAGATTTAAAATATTTACAGCCTGCTACTTTGGGGTATTGAAAAGTGTAATTGATTCTTTTGCAATAAAGAAAAAAAAAATAACAGCTGAAATATCCAGCCAACAGAAAATCTTCTTGCGAATGAGTTTAAAATGCTAAGGTTATCGGCTTTTTTACCCGTGAAGAAACATCCCAAATGTTTATAGTGTTACTATCAACTGTAATAATTTGAAGCTTACGCATAAGCAGAAAAGTATGACTTCAGAATGGACCATTATCTATCACTGTCCAACGAAGTACAATAACACAAAAATGTGGGAAGAAGGAACTCTTCAATGCCGAATGAAAACATGGAACTCTTCCCTTTCTCCAGACGGCTTTAATCCTATATGTCCCCTAGATTTTGACTCCATCACATATGGCACTAGCATTTATAAACAAAAAATGTGTTCTCATGTATAAAAAAACCTAATTGTTATACTTGTTAACAACGGTACAGGTTGTTTAAACATTAAAACTCCTATTTCAAGTTGTTTCATTGTATGAACCAAGTTATATGATCTTAAGGTATGCAATTTCTCATTGGAACAGTAAGAAAATCTACAAGTTATTGCTGGCCATCAAAGTTTACTTCCACAAAACAATAAAAGTTGAAGAAAATAAGAGAATTATGCTTGACAGAAGTACATTTCTTAGTAATGAAACCCTCGTCCAATTCAAAAAGACGTGAACAAGACATGAGAAAACTTGAAGCAGGAAGATGCAAATATTGCAAAGGATATCTTTTCTATATTAACGTTAGATTTCTTGAATTTAGAAGCATTCTGCAAAAACCTTTTTAGTCCGTATACAAAAAGAGGCCAATTTCAATAAGGCTAACATCTTCATTCTGAATTAACTATCAAAATTACCAAATTGAGCAACTGTAACCCTTAAACGAAGTATGTGAATTCCCAGTTCCAGATGAAAACAGCAGGATAATAAAATAAAGTTTCTGAACAAGGAAATCAAACAAAAATATCACTGCAGCTAAGATACAGGAGAAGAAGACGGAGAAGAGAGTCTTATACAGGTTAGAATTATGTTTTAAGTTAGATTATTTTTCAGCGAAACCCCTTCTTGCCTGACGGAAACAGGCAAGAAGATATAGGCATCTGACAGTTGAAACTAATATCATATCACTGACAGAAACAGGCACAACGAATAAAAATTTCAAACTAGAAGATATAGGACACCAAAGTATTGAACAAAATAGGATGTGTAACATACTGGTTTGGCACCAAGGCTGTCATATTCACTTTTGGCTGAACAACATTCCCAATGGCAAAAATTCCACCACCATTTACACCATCTAAGCAATGAGCAAACATATTCTTCACTCTTCCAGCAGATGCAAGCTGTGAAATCATGGATGAATTTTCTTTTCCAAAACCCAGCACACCATCAAGTGCATCATCTGCTGAAACAAGATCGGCTGACGGCCCAGCACCGCACCTGCCAAAACATAAGCAGCTCTTAGAAGTTGACACAAAAAGAGAAATGATGCTGACTATCCTAGAAGCCAGATTAAGCATCCAGCCCTTGTTTGTAAGAGAAGGAAAGAAAAGAAATGGAAAAGAAATGGAATTTTCATCAAAGTCAAAAGAAATCAGAGACATGATGGTGCAAGCACAGGCCAGGGGACAAAAAACAAACAAAGGAACCCTAATTCTATAACGAAAGTAGACAAACTCTATGCTTCAATTGGTTATGAGATATTTCAGCATGCACAAAGCTAAACAATAAATTGAGAAGGTCCGGTAAGCTAGCAAGAGCCAGAAAAATAATTACAGCTGTCCATCATATAATAATCATAATCATAATCACTCCTTGGCACCAAAAGGCTCCCCGTTTCACAAGGGTATGGGGACAGGGATGTTTGTACGCAACCTTATTCTTGTACAGCACCAGCACGAAAGGAAATGAAAATGCTAGAAGTCCTATTATTAACTTCGCTCGTGAAGATAACATGTTCGATATCCAAATTCAGAAGAGAATAAAAAAATCACAACTAAAAGCTGATTTCAAAAGGCAACATCAGTTCAGAGGTGTTTTTTTAAACTGCCTCCCGGACTCTACATGTAAATTATCCTAACAGTGACCACAAACCGGCATGCGAATAAAACAAATCAATCTATGGAAACACACAGGAACTTCATTCCCAGCTATCACACGGTTGGTCAAACTCCAACTCATGCATGAGTGCACCTTTAGGCTTTTACTCTTTGCATGGACTCTGTGATTTCTGCCTGGCAAAGATTTTTCCGGCCACCAAGCAAAAAAGTAACCTAACTCATTTTTCCCAAATTAAAGATGCAGCAAAAAACGCAGGTAAGCAAAGCAGCAAATCCTCTTGAACGAATGATAACTCATGTTTAACAAAGTTTTGAATTGCATAATTCTGTTCTAAAAACCAACTGAAAATAGCAGCTTCACAGTACTTTCAGAAACCATTCATCCTTAGCAATTGCAAGCAACTTTCAACTTACAGGTACCAACAGTAACTCATATAATTTAAAGTCACTGATGATTTTGAAAATATCACAAGAGAATATGCATCAAGGAAAAAACTAAACTCAGAGCCAAGAGAAGAGAAAAAAGAATAATTTTCAAACTTGAAATCATAAGAGAAGAAAGGGACTCACCCAAAAATAACGCTTCCATTTGCTGATTCAGTTTGAAGATCACCAGACACACGATCATACTGAACAAAATCCTCAACAAAATATCCCATGCTGAAAGTCCCATCTCCATAGATCTCAGTGTACAGACAAGTCTCGTTCACTGTGCAATCCGAAGATGAACCACGCATGATCTCCTTACAGAATTCTTGTCCGCAAGATACCAGTTTCCCAGTAAGAGAATCTTTAACATTGTATTGAGTTAGTTCCAGCTGAAATAAAATGAAGTCAAAGCTTCAAACCAGCAACGTATTTTTCAGCAAAATTTGTTCTTTAAAAGGACAATTAGGAAGAAATAATAATTATACATACACCATGATAGCCTCTAGTAGGGCATTGTTGGCAACTGATACAATTGACCCACATGATGTCACTTCCAGTATCCACCTGTACATAGTAATCCTTTGCAGGTGTTCCGATTCCCACTTTAGCATAATACAGCCTACATTCCATATATGCATAAATATTAGCTCCAAATTAATTTTAATGATAAAAACCCCAAACATTTAAACAAAGTAACTCATAACATAGAACTAAAACAGCAAGGGCAAATATCAACAGCCATCTCATGGCAAATCCAAACCACCCCCAAAAGGTACTTCAAAATGAGAAGCATTTTGGAGGTAAGCCAAACCCCAAAACAAACCCAATTTGCAATACAGTAGCAACTAAAATAGACTTCATCATACACAACATCCAATAACTAAACACGAAACCTCACCCCTTTGAGCAACAAAATAGAAAGGAAAGCTTATCTCTTTAAAATTAAGATACACTATCATCTTTGGAATTATAATTATTGAAAGCCATTACTTTTCTCTCTATCTGCCTTCTTATCAGGTGATAGCATATTGTTTTTAAGCAGTAATAGCTAATCATTGACCAAGAATCGCCAACATCTACAAGTTATTCAAGTATTAGAATATAACTGAACCTAATGAGAACCATCATTGACAAACCAATGCAAATTTTGGGGAATATTTCCACCGAGACTTCCATTATCGGGGGCATATCAACATGACATTCTCAAATAATAACTTCGAAATCTTCCAGCTTCAAGTTACACACCAAATACATCCAAAAGAAGCATTTGGAAAACTTCAAAGTCCAAACAACAAATTTAATGAACGGAAATTCATCTCAACAAAAAATATTCTTTCAGAGTAGTCAGATAATCCCAAAACTATGGCAATAATGTTTCAACTTCAGCAATCCCTGAAATTAGGAGTATCCAACTCTGCATATCCAACACTCGGCACCATTTTCATGTACTATATTTGATCTTAAATTGCTCAGTCAAAAAAAAAGTAAATAAAAGAATTCTTTTCATCAACTAAAGCAGTAAGAGAAATACAAAATTTAGAGAGAGAAAAGAGAATGATCATACCCCACAGCATCGGGACGACCCGTTCCACCAATTGGCAAGTCAACGCCGGCGAGAATTTGAAGGTGTCGTATGCTATCGTGCGCTTTTAAGGCATCAAGCGACCTATTCCTCCCGCCGAACTTTGAGCTCACTTCGAAAACTCCGCCGCCATGAACAATCGATGAAGTCCAAATTAGACAATTCAAGAGGATCATAGCATAAACATACAAAATTCTCCCCATTTCTCCAATGTTATGTGTACGGCGGCGGCGCAGAAGGCGGAGACGGAGATGGAGAGGTGGCGGTGGTTTTAAACGGAGCCCGGAATAGGAGGAATTAAGAACGCCAGAGGGGTAATTTTGGGAAGGAAGAAACCAACGGTTTATGTTTTTCTTTTCTTCGTCAAATAGTTGGTTTGATCTTTGATGGAGGTGGCCGGGCGGCTAGTAATTGCCATGGAAAATTACTGAGACGTCCCCCATATTCTGAAAAAATGGCAAAACAATCCAGCGGGGGAAATTTGTCATGGCCTGTGGGGCCGGTGTCTTTCAAGAATTAAAGTTTAGGAGGAGTAGATTAACAGACAGAGTATTATTACAGTGTTAAGTAAATACAACATATCCCAAATAAGGGAGAGACCGACCATATAGGGTAAGATTGCATAGTTAAGGTGATTCCTAATTGGAGTATGTTTACTAATTACCACTAGTATGTAATTTACAATAATAGAAGGCAGTATAGTAGAGCTCGGGTCGGAAGATCCGCCTTCTAGAAGATAGTAAAATTCGCCACTTCAAGTGCCTTAGTAACTGATATTTCTGAATGTTTTCGAGGGAAATATGGGTTTCCACGAGTATGAGGAGTTGGTAACTTATTGAATTACATTGTGTTGTCCCAATTCTTGAACTTTTTTCGTTATCAGGTTTGCACCTGAGTAAGATAAGACATGTAGGATATATCCAAGAAATGCACCCTCAGATTAGTTCATGTATACATGTTTAGAAAGTATTTGTGCATTTGTCCCGTCCTGTAGGGTCTTTTAATTGTACCTATCAAGCAAGTTTTTTTCTCCCATCTTGTAATTTTTATGCCCATCTTGCAAGTCTTGTGCCTTTCTTTGTAGACCTTGTGCCCATCTTGTGGGTCTTGTGTCTATCTCATATGTCGTTGTAGCTATGCTCGTTTAGCATGTGCCTGTCCAGCAGGTTTTTCGGTTCTTTCAAATGCAGAATGGTTTCTAGTGCTTATCTAGTAGGCTTTGTATGTCCCATCTTGGCATGATCTTTATCATATGCAATTATGCTCGAGAAAAGAATATGATGGTAATATTTTTATAAAAGATAAATCAGAGCGAAAATCTCAATCATAAATAGCAGAAGAACTTAATTCTCTAGAAAGTATTAATATGTCGAATAATTTATCTTCCAAGTAATCATTTTCATGGTTGCAATTTACAAAGTTACTTTGTTCTCATGGAAGGAGATGTCCAAGAAGATTTATGTGTTTATATTGAGTTCAAGAATATTGTATTTGACCAGTTGAGTCTCGAAATACATATTCTCGAACACCCCAAGTAGTAATAGGAGAGTTAGGTTGTCCCTGCGAGGAGATGTATCTTCATGGATCTAAGAGAAAATTTGTTGATTGTCCCTTGCTTTTAAAATAATGAGGATCTGTATGAAAATTATAAAAGTATTAAGGAGCGAAACATACGAATTCTAATATTGGAAGTAATCTGTAACTTTCCAAAATTCGTGCAATTGATCAATGTTCATTTGTTGCTCGGCTGCGTGAAGCTCCTTTTCTTCTCGAGTTTAGCCTTGCTGCTTGGAAAAATTTTGGATGGTGTTCCTTCTCAATAGCGTGCTTGCTCTCGGGTGAATTTCACTATACATATTGATGAAACTTCTCTTTGTCGGCCGATCCGTTGCCTGCAGGACACCGACGAGTAAGCCGACGTTAGGCAGTCGAGTTGAGTGTTGATTGGAGTCACGTAATAGTCGACATTGGTCAAGTTCTCCAATTTCCTGATTCTTGAAGCATAGACACCATTTAAAACAACAACCAAAAAAAAAAGAACAAGCATTCAATGAAATAACAGACACCATTTATGATAGCAATCTCATAGACGAAGCAAATTTCTTCAATGCAACCGTCAACAAGAAAGTACGAAGATAATTTGTCTACCTCGTGAAACTCAAAAGAGTGCGGAAAATTCTTAGTAAGACGATCGTTTACCTAAGAATTTCTATCTCTTTAACTCAAATCAAGCAAATAACACATAATCTATGAAAGACTCAAATTAAACAACAACCCACACAAGAATAGTAAAGACAGCATTCAATATACTCGGTCAGTCAATCATTCAAGAGACTCAAGAAAGGTAGGAGCAAACAATGCTCAACTATGAAGGAATACTATTGATTAGTATTCTCCATAACCAACAAAGATATGCAACACAAACACTATCTCAAAATGCTTATGCCAAAGCAAAATTCATCAAAAAAAAAGTAGGACAAAACCCCACAAAGGAACTCATGAACACACACATCATGAACTCGAAAACCCTAGCCAAAAGAAAGGCTCAACTCTCGAACTACTAGAAGTAATATGAAAATAAGAAGTTTAGTTTTAAAACAATTCTATCAAGAAGCATACTTGAAAAAAACAGTTTCTGAAAGACCAAATCCAAGACAAGATGAAAACCCTCCTGGTTAAATCTTGCTTGACGCGAAAAATGGACACCCATTTAACACAAATTCCTCAAAAGAAAAACTTCCATTAGAAAGACAACAAATGACCACACACGTGTACCTTGAACCTTCGGCGATGCCCTTTATTTATAGGCTAGCTTTCTTGGTCACAAAGTACTTAAAAAGAAGACTAACTAGGACTCTTTACTCTTATCTCTCGCAAGAGTAGAGTTAGAAGAGTGTTTGATCTCTTTGACTCTATCTAAAATCTAGGAAACCTCATCTAAATGACTTATCCTCAAATATGATAATATTTAGAAGGAATCTAAGACTCCTAAACAAAACTCTCTTGCTTAATTCAGCCCACATGGCTTATCTTACTAGATAAATTCGAAAATCAACTCCTACACTTAGACAAACTCTAATACTCGAAATTCAGCTCCTAAATATTGATGTAAAATGTCTTGAACACCCTTCCAAAAGGTGGAATATTGGTCTTGTGCCCCTCAAATTCCAATTTACTCCAAAACTTGTAAATTTCTCTTTATTGATTCTAAAAGAATGGAAAAATACTTGAAACAATTGAGATAGTTTGCACCCTATCCAATTGTGTAGCAGTGGACTCAATCTTGAACACTTTGATCAAATAGGCCGTCCATTCAAGAACCTAAATGACTCTTCCCTCTAACTTGATCAGTGATCTTCATGGAGCACCTAGAGTCAAACTCCCTTGATACTCTTCAGCACTTATTTCCATGAGTGAATCATCTCCTTTGGTTTGAACCTCAAAGTTAGTGACATTCTCATCGTCTTGATCATAGTTTGCTTGAACCAACTCCCTATCACATAGGTAGTCAAGATCCATCTTCTCTTCTTTGATTGGCCTGCAAAGTAAACTTGGCATTCTATATCAAGAATGAAGGACCATTTCATTCCCCTCACTAAGAGAACCACCATGGAAGACTATATGATTCTCATCATCCCCTCCTTCTTTAAGAGGATTCGTCCTCGAATCATCAACCTCTAAACCTGCACAAGGAACAAATGAGATGTAAGGGTTAGTAAAATCCTCACCCTCACCACACTATTGTTTTCTCTCATTGCGTGAATTTTTTTTTTTTGTTTCCACGCGATTTTCTTGATTTTCTCTCGCCTCAAGTCTTGTCTTAGCGTCACTCTTTTTATTTTCTTGCGTTACTCTCTCGACTTTTTCTCTCCCTTGTGTATAGGATATCTTACGTCTTTTCTCTCGCACATTTTCAGCAACTTCATAAGCCAAAGGCTTAAGAACATATTTTCTATCCTCTTTAGTAAAGACAAAGATATTCTTCGAATAATGGTGCGTAGAATCTACATTCGACTGCCAAGGCCTACCTAGCAAAATATCTCACAAAGACAGGAATTAAATCAAAGTAGCTCTCGTCCCTATACTCACCAACTTGGAAAGGTACCATGGCCTTCTTAGTAACATCCACAACCATATCTTCACTCAACCATTGAAGCTTATATGGTCTAGTATGCGAATCCATCTTGATTCCGTTTGCTACGCAAAATTTCTCACTTATACAATCAGTACTCGATCCACCATCAATTACCGAACCAACGTCATTGGACCAACCAACCGAACACTTAGTATGGAAGATACATTTCCTTTTATCACCATCCTCAGCGCCAAACACCAACCCATGATCCTCAATTGGACCATTCCAACTACAAGAAGTATCATGCTCTCTCTCCACTTCTAAGGCAGCATAATATGCCTCATAGAGCCTTGATTGCCTCCTTATCTTCGGGTGTTGTTTGTACTCCTTGTCCAACACGTAGTGGAAACAATCAGTCAACATGTAGTCGTTCTCATCCACTCCTGAACTCAGGAACACGCCTTCTAGGTCCTGAAAGTAAGATTGACCGGATCTACCATTCTGCTTACAATTGAGCAACTTCACTTTTGCTTCATTAAAGGTGTTAGATCCAACATATCTCTCTCGCAAAGCACTCCTCAAATCATGCCAATCATCACATTTACGATACCAATGATGCGAATGATATTTGAAACTAGCTTCCACCAATTCAAAGCATTAGATCGAAAACAACCTATAGCTAAAGCTATCTTCTCACTTTCTCTCTCTATGTTAAGCAATACAAACAAATTCTCTATGGTCTTTTCCCAAGTATCATAGTCTCTATGGCAACCATAAAACAAAGGCAATGACACTTTTAACATACCAGCATACGAGGGTACTTGTTTCACTTCAAAACGATCACATAAGACTCTTAAACTTTCAGCAATTCTTTCAAGACTTACCGAAGCTTTGTCTTGCTGTTTGGAAAGCGAATAAGTCAATTCCTGATTCACCTCCTTCAACTCCTTCAAAGCATCATGCAAAAACTCAATTTGAGTCTTCATAAGCTGAATTTGGGACTCCATGCGACCTTCACCACCCTTTAGAGCAACTTGGTTACAACCAGCAACTCCGGATGACATCTTTGCTCAACAACTTCGAGAAATCACCAACAAAAAAGTAATTGTGCTTTTGGAACTATGCAAAAAACTCCTTGAACCTTGAACCAATTGAATGGTTTGGCTAAACCCCCCAAGAACCAAAAGAAGGTTCAAATAATGCTCTCCCCAAAATAAAACTCTTTTGTGCTTTTAAGAACACTTAAACTCTTGAAAATTCAGAATAAAGAGAAGAGTGCTCCTCTTGTTTTTAACCCTTGTGATCTCGAAAAACAGCATCCCTATTTGTAGGCAATGTAAGTCTTTTTGTGCAAGAAAACTCCTACAAGATAGGACCTAATTTTTCTCAAGAATATTCCCCCCTATTTGATAAAATTTCAGTCGAAA